GTCGTATTCCACCAGGAAATATAGTGCAAAGATGTTAAACCGGGGTCTACCACTTTTTTCTATCCTTTCTAATGAAGAGAGTGAGTACATGTGTATTTGGCAGTTAACTTGTGGAGTTTCGATTGGAAAGATATGTATCCATGTATGGACGTTGCATATTTAACAATATATAGAGGTTTGAAATGTGTTCAGTGTAAATTCTCACCTGTGAAGCAGAAGCAATAAAAGTATGAACGGCGGCGTCCAAGTCCGACCGCTCCGTCACCGCGCATATACAGCCCTTCTGCATTTCTATATGGTAATCATTTATGAAATAGAATTGCATATTTATACAAATTTAAGACCTATGACACTCAGAATAAGACTCCAAATCAAACGGCATCTTATTCAGCAAAATCGGTTTAATATTTATAGCGCGCGTAAACCTTTGACTAAACTGTCCCACAATTAGTCGCGTTTTGATTGTTATTAGCTTACTAGCTGTTCCCATGCGGTTTCATCCGAAAAAAATATTTTATTGTTTGCATTTCTCAAATTATCAGTAAAAAATGTCAAAATACCAATTACCTTACTATGACAATTTGCTTCCTTGATGTTGGCTGTAACTTATGGTCTCTTTCCCACATTATGGTTTTTACCCAAAAAAAATTGCCCTTAAGTATAAAGGCGTAAAATTGGATAGCCTAAAGCGTGATGTCATTTTTTTTAATTGAAAATATTACATGAAACAAATTAAAAAATATGCACAAATATGGCTCCGCAAAAACCATATAATTGGTTAGTCCGCGGGTGCGCTGGTTACAATTTACAATACAACATATGTAGTGTGTCGTATTGGTGTAGGATAGTTTTATGACATGTTTTTTTTTGTGTAAAATTATATAAAATACATACATACATAGTATACTGTATATAAATAAAATATTCTATTCAAGGGCTTAGTAAGTAAGTGTAGGGCTTTTTAATAAAAAGGGATTATTCAAAATATGCTGTAATTGCTGACATCTTAGGCAACAAATAAGTGTGTTTACGCTTTATTATAATAGTATATATATGAAGGTGCAAACTACTCGATGTTTAGTTGTGCAACTAAACAATTGGCTGCGAAATAATCGAACAGTCGTGCGATAGTTTAGTCAAAGGTGTCAGCTCTAAGGCTACAGTCGATCAAAATAGTACTAAAATACAAACACACAGAAAGACTGACGTCTGAAAACCGCAGCCGTAGTATTACCATTAATAAAACTGTCTTTCTTAGTTAAAC